ATATATATATATATATATATATATATATATATATATATATAATAAAAAGAGAAATATTAATAATAATAATTATAATAATAAAAGAGGAAAAGAAAAATAGAAACATGAGTATTAAGTGTACTGAAAATTACAACCAAATATCACAATCAAATGTTCAGATACATTGTCAATGTTGAAAGTAAATATTTACAATTAAACGGTGTAAAATGGTATTAGATAAAACAAAAAAGTTTAATTAATACGAAATGAATTAAAAAGGGAGGGAACTCAGGAGAGTGCATCTATTAAATGGAAGGCAATACCTAAAGAGAGTTAAAGTAAGTTATAAAACAATGCCACTTTTTAAAGAAATTAGTTTTCCCAGAGCATCTAACCTTTTCCAACTTGCAAAAAGGCATTGGATCTACAAGCCATTGGGATGTAGTTGGAGGCTTATTTGATTTCCAGTGAAGTAGTATACGACGCCTGGCTATTAGTGAGGTAAAGACCAAAACATCAAGTTGTTTATAATTAAATTTGGACCAAATCTTTGGAACCCCAAAAATGGCAACATCAGGGGATGGGTTTATATTTACCTGCAACACCTTGGACATAATTGTAATAAATAATTAATCCAATAATTCTGTAATAGAGGGCACATAAAGAACATATGACTCAAATTACAACTTGGTGCATGACATCTGTCACATCTGTCATCGATACTGGGAAAAATTTCAGATGGCCTGGTTTTTGAGAAATGGACTCTATGAAAGACTTTGAATTGCATCAGACTAAGCCAAGCGCAAATTGTACTAGAACGTATTATCTGCAGTGCACCAAGCCACCATTCTTCCTCAAAACATATTCCCAATTCATTTTCCCAAGATTTTTTAATTTTAGTAAGAGAACCATCATCCAAGCTCAAAATGCACCCATAGATTTTAGAAATTTGTGATTTGTGTTGCGGGTTTAGTTGCAGTAGCTCTTCCCACACCTGTATTTTAGGTAGGGATGGGTAGCCTGAGAATAAGGTCGCAGAGCAATGTCTAGCCTGTAAGAATCTAAAAAAATGGGATTCTGAAGATTTATTCAGTTTTTAAATTAATTTCACTAATTATTATTGTTATATAATAATAGCAATATTCAAATGTTGATGATTTATTTTCAATACAGTTTGTTAAGTCATATTTTCTATCTTTTAGTAGATATATTATATGACAGACTTGCTTTGGTTACTAAATAACTGGATCTAATTGGATTTGCATTGTAAACATTAAATAAAAGTTCAAAATGTATTAGTTTTATTAGTGACTAAATAGTTTTTAGTTATGATACTTCTAAAATTATTCACATTCAAATATTTACAAAATTCTTCGCAGCAATAGCAAAAATGTCTGCAGATTCTGTCTGGCCTTAGTGATTGGTCATCGATGCACTCACTTCAACCTGCGTACACAGACACGAAAGCATGTTAAAGCCCATCTATCAGCTGAACTGTGCTGATATACGAGCGATCCATCTGCTAACAGATCAGCTGGTTGACGATGCTTTCAAATGATTTTTTGATTGCTTTGAGAGATTTCAAGTGCTGCGTGTCAGTGATGTCATCATCACGCAAGCAGCCAATAGTGTTCTGCTCTTTCCGATTGCTGCTCCCTGAACATTTAATTCGTTGTGGTTTGGGGGCTGAAAAGAGTTGGGTGACTAGAGTTGTTTTCAGATTGTGTAGTCTGTGACTCCCTTTTCTGTGTTATTTCCATAGAGTTGCTTAGTGTGAAATATCACATCGATTTAAAGACCAAAATTCAAGTCATTAAGGGTGCTTTCACACCTGCTGTATTTAGTTCGGTTGAATCGCACTAGAGTTTGTTTTCCCCTTTGTTGGGGTTCATTTGGGCAGGTGTGAATGTAGAAACCGTACTCGAGTGTGCAAAAAAAAACGTACCGAGACCACCTTGAAGAGGTACTCTTTCAAACGAACCCTGGAGCGGTTCATTTGTGATGACAATATGATCCGAACTAAAACCAACCCAACCGCAAAAAGTACTGCGCCTTTTTGGACTAATCCAGCTGCAGTAGGCCGATGCGCTGTGCATTATGGAATGTGGAGGAAAAATATTTGTTTACAGCGCTTTGTCAACACTTTTAAATAGGGAAAAACATTACCTGATGGATCGTTGGTAATATTTCTGGAAGATGACCATGTCGCAGTTTAGCAAAATGAATTCAAGCCTCCTCCTGAAGTGACTTGCGATGTGCCTTCGCCGTTTGCAATGCATTAAAAATTTGTTTTCCAGCCACAGCCGCACTTCATTCTCGAAATGTTTAGACTATCTACAAACTAAACAAACTATATAGTATACTGTGAGCAGGTATACAATTTGTCAGTGCAGTAATCCCTCCATAGTAAAAAGTGATATTTTGTGTCGGCCGGTTTGTTTACTTGTGGGAGTTCCATTGGCATTTTCCCGCACGTGAATTCTGACCAATAGAAAAGCAGTGTAGGAAATACATTCAACAACATCTGGCCAACGAGTGATGTGGATTATGTCAGATGAGTGCATTTTGGTTCTTTTAAACTGGTTCGGACCAAAGCAATCAGAGTGGTGTGAAAAGGACCCAAAAACGGCAAAAATGCTACAATTTATCATTTATTGCCCTTGTTCCAGACTAAATGAAGTGAACTACAGATGTGAAAGCACCCTTAGTCTAAGGGTGCTTTAATACCTACACTTTTGTTTCGGAACGTATCTCATTTGCCCAGTTAGCGCGGTTCGATTGGCATATGTGAACAGGGCAATCGCGCTCTGTTCAGCGCCAAAGTAATCGCTCCGAGATCGCTTGAATGAGGTGGTCTCGGCTCGATTGAAACGAACCCTGGAGCGGTTCGATTGCAGTGAGAAAGCGATCCGATCCGAGCGCAGTTATATCACAGTGTTTTATGGATATGTAATAGGCTTACGGCTATATGAAGAGAGAATTATGAGTATGGCGAGAAGTTTCACGAGTCTCCGGATGCCCGCAAATAAGTGATGATCTCCCGGTAATCTTGCGTCTCCCTCCTGTTCCTCAAATAGTCTACGTCGCACACCCTCACCACCGCGTCTCTCCTCAGATACGCAACGCGTGCACCCTGTCAATCACCACCAAACCTCCACCTGACAGCTTAGCGGGACGCTGCAAAATAAACCCTGACACTCTGACCAATGTAAGGAGAGTTTACTCGCACGTGACTTGTTTTAGCTCTTTTGGTCCGATTAGAAACTTTGCAGTGTGAAAGCGAACCGCTCCAGGAGCAAAGAGCAACAATGTAACATTTGTAATCTCTCTTTCAGAACAACTGAATCGATTCACAGGTGTGAAAGCACCCTAAAGCACCCTAAATGCCAAATTGATCTGCTAATGTTTTAATTCATCCCCAACTTACCTGTGCATGTCAGGAAGGTGTTTTTCCAGGTTTCCTGTGTTTACATTCCATATGTACACGGCACCATCTGCAGATCCAGCTGCCAGGAAACTGCCATCCGGACTGAAACAGAGAATATGTGACTGGTGACTTCAGACTGAAAGACTTTACTCTGGAACTGATTCTCTCTCGCTCGACAGATCCCTGAGGCAATTGATCTGATATCACATTCAATAATTGTCAGGAACCTAAAGAAGACATATTCAAAGTCTGTTCCTAAACCTGAAGAACAACCTTCCAAGACTGTACTGCCTTTAAAAGGTACCTTGTTCTAGACAAATTAGAAAACTGAGATTGTGTTATTATAAAATAAAGAAAAAATAAAGGCCTGAAGAATAAGATGGTGGAGTCTGAGCAGTTGAGGCCCCATTTCAGAGTGGATGCAGTCTTAAAAGAAAGTTGTGGTCAATAACCATCTTTACTAGGGTTGTAACGGTGCACAGAAGTTAGTTTTTGGGTTACGCTTTGATATGGGCTTGATGAAACAGGAATAAGCTTTGTTTTGAACAGGAAGAAGTGTTTTGTCAGAATCAGCAACAAAACTGAAAAGCTTCTTGTGATGCAAAGGTACAAAATAAATAGAATAAGGAAAAGGAACCTTAGGAATTAGGAGATTGTGTATTAAACTTTCAATGATCGAGCTTAACTCTCTCCTAAAACAACAGATATACAGTAATTGTGCGTAGATTCAGTAAACTTTAAAACTGAGATCTCTTTTGGTACCATAACAGCAAGTGTAGTGGACAACAACTGTTCAATCGTGTGTGTGTGTGTTTGTATATAGAGACTGGACAGACTTAAAACACTCGAGAAGAGATAGAATCATAGTTGTTTTTCATGTAAATGCAGTTGACAGATGTGCATAACATGCCAGCCTGATCTCACGAGAAAACGTAAGTATTTTACGTTTTGCCAATTTAGTGGCTAATTCGTAGGAATTCGAATGAGCTCAGTTGTATGAAATTGTCAGATTTTAAAAAGGAGGTGTGGCACCTAACCCCACCCCTAAACCCAACCGTCATTGGGGAATGTACAAATCGTACTAAATTGTACGAATTAGATCGTACAAATTCATACGAATTAGCCACTAAATCAAAAAGTTACGAATTGCCATGAGATTGTGTTGTGACATACATTTACATTAGGTATGCTCATAATAACCAATTCACTGATTCAACTGAAAGGGTGCGTTTTTAACCGATTAATGATATTAGTTAAACGCTAAATTTATTTATTTTTTATTGGCTGCATAAAAGTGCAACTCACGGGATGTGACATGTGCAACCACATATGCCTAAAGACATATTTTGCCAAAGAAGCAAAATGAAAGAAGGACACTGCTGGTCACAGCTCAAAACAGACGAGTTAAAGTCAAACCAGCGCTGATGCTGATTGCCTGTCCTGGATTCGCATTACAAACACTTGTTTGTTTGCACAACTGGAGAAAAAAGCCACAAAACAAAACTTTCTGAAACCTGCGCTGCTTTGGAAACAAGCCTACCTCAAGTCGGAGTGTCTGGATTTTTCTCTCCATCAGAGAGCGCTTTGGCACCTCTCATAAACACAACAAATAGGCTATAGTTGTGATGATTTAGTGTACAACCAACAAACCAACCTTTTTTCCATTTGAAAAATTACACATTAAAATTTCTTATTAAATATCCTTTTTTTTTTTAAATAGCCTACATAATCTACGAATCAAACAAATCCAAAGATTTTCTTGATATTTGCATAATGAAAACTCCACACCAAACTGTAGCTTTCATTTTATAGCTTATAAAACATGTATGCAAATTTATGCAATATCATATTTAAACAACAAAACAGTTATATGTTATAGTAGCCTATACTTTACAAAAAGTCAACATATGAGCCTTGTCACTGTTTTTCGCGTGCACATGAACCGCGAGTGAGAGGAAATAAAAGCACACAAGCTCTAAGGTAAAACCAGATGCTCAAGACATAATCTTTAAACTAATGACTTCTATTAAAATGTTGACAGAGGTTTATGATAAAAGAATAACAGCAAAGCATTAATGAAATGCATATTTTCTGTGGAGTGATCGATTTGAGGTAGCCTGCTATTTCTATTTGAAGGAAGAAAAAAAACATGATGGGAAAAACAGTCTATTAAAAAGGATTCAGTCAGTGTTTTCATTATTTATCATTAAAAAATATTTATCGTGAAAAATATCTAGGGCAGGACTATTTCATTTTTATTTTTATTTATTTTATTCTTATTTTCTATTTCTATTTTAGTTTCTGCTGCCTAATGGGTACCAAGGGTGCCCTTTTGGAGGGTGTGGTGTACGACTGACAGTTTCAGTCGAAGTCAGAACTATTCGCCCCCTTTGAATTTTGTTTTCTTTTTTAAATACGTCCTAAATGATGTTTAACAGAGCAAGGAAATTTTCACAGTATGTCTGATAATATTTTGTCTGTAGGAGAAAGTCTTACTTATTTTATTTCGGCTAGAAGTAAAAGCAGTTTTAAATTTTTTTTAAACTATTTTAGGGACAAAATTGTTAGCCCCTTTTTGCAAATTTTTATATTTTTCTGCCATTTATATTTGTCGGGAATTATGATTAACAGAGCGATGAAATTTTCACAGCATGTCTGATAATATTTTAAGTCTTATTTGTTTTACTTTGGCTAGAATAAAAGCAGTTTTTAATTTTTAAACACCATTTTAAGGTCACAATTATTAGCCCCTTTAATTATTATTTATTTAGTCTACAGAACAGACCATCGTTATACAATAGCTTGCCTATTACCCTAACCTGCCTAGTTAACCAAATTAACCTAGTTAAGCCTTTAAATGTCACTTTAATCTGTTTAAAAGTGTCTTGAAAATTATCTAGTAAAATATTATTTACGGTCATCATGGCAAAGAGAAAATAAATCAGTTATTAGAAATGAGTTATTAAACTATTATGTTTAGAAATGTGTTGAAAAAAATCTGCTCTCTGTTAAACAGAAATTGGGGGAAAAATTAAACAGGAGGGCGAATAATTCTGACTTCAACTGCCTGATGTAAATAGACGATAAGTGCATTGCATCATATGATTCACTTAAATGTTTGCACAAAGTTGTACACTTAATATGCAGCGTGTCCACAGTTCATTTGAGTCTCCTGTTGGCAGTGAGCTGTTTCTACTGTTGGCTAATGGAGAAGGTGTTGAGTTATATGCCTGGCACATGAGAAAAAATGTTGCAACGTGAAGGTGCTGATGAATGATGAAGCAGCCATTAGGTACGAGTTTATGTCTCTCTTTCTCTCTCTCTCTCTCCTCTTTGAAGTGCTTTTGCCAGCTCCAACCGTGAAAAATGCAACACCACAGTGCTTTCGGGCCATAAAGTCTCCATGGAAACTGTATATGTCTATGCAGAGAGGTGCTAAAAGACTCATCTGTACGACTCCTTTCTCATCTCACATCATACGGAGTGTGTTGCATTTACTTTGTAACAATGCTGAGAAAATTGCAGGATCAGACTGTGCATGAGGATATAGTGGCTGTAAAGCCTCTGGTAGCACTTAAAATACTCAGGCGCCACATTCACAAAACATCTTAAGATTAAAAGTAACTCATCATGACTAGCTAATTTAGGATATAATTGGGTGTGTTAGTACTTAGAGTATCTTACAAAGTGTTCGGGGAAAGAAATCTGTGAAAGATTAGGAGTAGTGAAAAAGACATTGACAGTCAGTCACTGTTACCCAATCCCAAACAATCATCTATCATCTACATGTCATCTTTGTGTCTGGACAAAAGTGGGAAAGCTGAGTTTATTTGCACAGATATGTTTTCCTACCTATCTTTTTTGTTGTTGTTGCTGTATTGAGTTTATCCCAACTATCAGCCATGATTATTCTACTGTGTTAATTAAAAAGCTGCTAATACCCATATCAGGGTTCATACACATTTTTTTACTGCAAAAATTTCATGACTTTTTCAGGAATTTTATGACCTAATGTTTCATGTAACGTTTACGTATATTTGGTAAATAATAAAAAAAAGACAATGCATGTTCAAATTCCAGGAATTTTATGACCTAATGTTTAGCATTATGTGGTAAATAATAAAAAAAATTATAATTTTACATCCTTAAAATAGCAAAAGTGGATTCTGACATGCCTATGACTATGATTAAAAATGTTGACAGAGGTTTATGATATAAGAACAACAGCGGAGCATTAATTAAATGCATATTTGTAGTGGAGCGATCGATTTGAGGTAGCCTGCTATTTATATTTGTCGGAAGAAAAAAACATGATGGGAAAAAAACAGCCTATGCCGGTTCTTAAAAAGGATTCAGTCAGTGTTTTCCTTATTTATTATAATTTAGTTGAAAAATATATAGGGCAGGATTTTTATCAGTTTTATTGGATAATGTTTCATGTAATGTTTACATATATGTGGTAAATAATAATTTAAAAAAACAATGCACGTTCAAATTCCAGGAATTTTATTGGATAATGTTTCATGTAATATTTGCGTATATGTGGTAAATAATAAAAAAAATATCTTTTTACATCCTGAAAATAGCAAAAGTGGACTCTCACAAGCACTTAATGCTTTTGCGCCCTGCGCTTTGGACTTTGCGCCTAGATTGTTCAAATAGAGCTCAGAATCTTTAAAATAATGACTATTATAAAAAATGTTGACAGAGGTTTATGATATAAGAACAACAGTGAAGCATTAATTAATTGCATATTTTTAGTGTAGCGATAGATTTGAGGTAGCCTGCTATTTATATTTGTCGGAAAAAAAAAAAAAAACATGATGGGAATAAACAGCCTATGTCGGTTCTTAAAAAGGATTCAGTCAGTGTTTTCCTCATTTATAATCATTTAAGTGAAAAATATATAGGGCAGGATTTTTATGAGTTTTATTGGATAATGTTTCATGTAATGTTTACATATATGTGGTAAATAATAAAAAAAAAAAAACAATGCACGTTCACATTCCAGGAATTTTATTGGATAATGTTTCATGTAATATTTGCGTATATGTGGTAAATAATAAAAAAAAAAATTTTTTTTACATCCAGAAAATAGCAAAAGTGGACTCTCACAAGCACTTAATGCTTTTGCGCCTTGGACTTTGCGCCTAGATTGTTAAAATAGAGCTCAGAATCTTTAAAATAATGACTATGATTAAAAATTTTGACAGAGGTTTATGATATAAGAACAACAGTGGAGCATTAATTAAATGCATATTTTCGGTGGAGCGATCGATTTGAGGTAGCCTGCTATTTAAATTTGTCGGAAGAAAAAAAAAAACATGATGGGAATAAACAGCCTATGTCGGTTCTGAAAAAGGATTCAGTCAGTGTTTTCCTCATTTATAATCATTTAAGTGAAAAATATATAGGGCAGGATTTTTATGAGTTTTATTGGATAATGTTTCATGTAATGTTTACATATATGTGGTAAATAATAATTTAAAAAAACAATGCACGTTCAAATTCCAGGAATTTTATTGGATAATGTTTCATGTAATATTTGCGTATATGTGGTAAATAATAAAAAAAATATCTTTTTACATCCTGAAAATAGCAAAAGTGGATTCTGACACGCCCTTAATGCTTTTGCGCCTTGGACTTTGCGCCTAGATTGTTAAAATAGAGCTCAGAATCTTTAAAACAATGACTATGATTAAAAATGTTGACAGAGGTTTATGATATAAGAACAACAGTGGAGCATTAATTAATTGCATATTTGTAGTGGAGCGATCGATTTGAGGTAGCCTGCTATTAAAATTTGTCGGAAGAAAAAAAAACATGATGGGAAAAAAACAGCCTATGCCGGTTCTGAAAAAGGATTCAGTCAGTGTTTTCCTTATTTATCATAATTTAAGTGAAAAATATCTAAGGCAGGATTTGTATGAGTTCTATTGCCTAATGTTTCATGTAATATTTTGTATGTGTGGTAAATAATAAAAAAAAAATATTTTTCCATCCTTAAAATAGCAAAAGTGGATTCTGACACGCCCTTAATGCTTTTGCGCCCTGCGCTTTGGACTTTGCACCTACATCGTTAAAATAGAGCTCATAATCTTTAAAATAATGACATATATTATATTATTAAAAATGTTGACAGATGTTTATGATATAAGAACAACAGCAATAACAAGGAGCATAAATTATATTCGGTGGAGCGATGGATTTGAGGTAGCCTGTCATTTATATTTGTCCGAAAAAAAAAAACATGATTCGTTTTATTAAAAATCTGTATATAATTTGCTCATTACAGACTTTTGAATGGCAGTGTAAGTAAATTATATAACAATTATGTTCCTCAACACTAATAAGAACTGGTTATAATTTGAATGAAAATAATAAAAATAATAAAACTATACAATGTAATATGTTTAATTCGCTAGTTATATAGAATCATATATTGGTCGTAGTGTATGAGTGTCTGTGTGAATGAGAGAGTGTATGCGTGTTTCCAAGTACTGGGTTGCGGCTGGAAGGGCATCTGCTTTGTAAAACAGATGCTAAAATAGTTGGTGGTGCATTCTGCTGTGGCGACCCCTGATAAATAAGAGAATAAGCCACAAAAAATAAAAATAAAATATGAAATATATATATATATATATATATATATATATATATATATATATATAT